TCAAAAAAAAAAAAAAAAAAAAAAAAGAAATGGTGTATCCCCAAAGCCTGTGCTCTGGACAACTCTGTAAATAAATATGCAACACATGAGTGAATGGGCTGGGTGTGGTGGCTCATGCCTGAAATCCCAGCACTTTGGGAGGCTGAGGCAGGAAGATTGCTTGATTGTTCGAGACCAGCCTGAGCCACGAGACCCCATCTCTATAAAAAATGTAAAAATCAGCGGAGCATGATGGTGCATGGCTGTAGTCTTAGCTATTTGGGAGGCTGAGGCAGGAGAATGATTGTCTGAGCCCAGGATCTCGAGGCTGCTGTGAGCCATGATCACGTCCTAACTCCAAAATGAATGACTGAATGAATATACTGACATGTCGGGGCATTTGTCTGGTCTTCCCAGGACACCCGGGACCCTGCCCTGTGCCAGGACCTGGGGACCCCCCCTCACCTGTGAGGTGTGCTGCCGGGTTGGCCTCATGGGACCTCCGCTCTGGGGAGAGAGGGGCAGAAGTTAGGGGCAGAGACCGTGGGAGGTAGGTGCCAGCCGCCAAGGGTCATCAGGGCCACCTCCCAGAGCCAACCCCACCCCTTCCGGAGTGACCACACTTCTGCTTCTCAGGCCTGGGGGAGGGGCATCTGTGGGGTTTGGGCCGGTTGTGCAAATCAGGTTGTGCAATGCTGGGGGAGGGGCAGCGTGGGAACCATCCCACCTCCGGCCCGGGGACTAGAACCCGGACACACCTTGCACCAGCTTCTCCCAGGAGCCTGCGTCTCCGTCCTGAAAATGCAGAAGGAGATTGCGGTGAGGATCTGTGGGGGGATCATGCCCTGGCATTGCATACACACGGTTAAAAGATACACAACCACAGCACAGGCACCGCCCTCAGGGCCATGTGCGCACACACCCATCTCACTCAGCAGCCTCATAACCGCTCTGTGCCTCAGTTTCCCTCTCTGTAAATGGAGTTATAAATAGCACCTGCCTATTTATGATTTAATGAATTAAAGCAGATGACAGTGCCTGACACATAGTATGCACTGTAGGTTTAACAACTAAGTGATATTTAAAAAGAATATATGGGCTGGATGCGGTGGCTCATGCCTGTAATCCCAGCACTTTGGGAGATTGAGGCCGGGGGGATCGCTTGAGGCCAGGTGTTTGAGACCACACACACACCAAAAAAAGTTAGCTGGGCATGGTGGCGCATGCCTCCCGGCTAACTGGGAGGCTGAGATAAGAGGATGGCATGAGCCCAGGATGTCAAGGTTGCCGTGAGCTGGGATCGTGCCACTGCACTCCAACCTGGGCAACAAAGCCAGACCCAGTTT